ATTCCCAGCTCCGTAAACCCCAAACTCCAACTCCCAAACCCCGAACCCCAAACCGTCCTAAACCCTAAGCCCTAACCCTATTCCCCAGCCCCCTATTCCCCAAACCCTAAACCCTAAACCCCAAACCCTAAACCCTAAACCCGAAACCCTAAACTTTATTCCCTTCTCCGTAAACCCCAAATCCCAACTCCCTAACCGAGCCGCACCTGCAGGGCGCGCGGACGAGAGCGGCAAGGTCAACTTCGCGGGATCCCTCAGACTTAGGGTTTAGGGTTTAGGGTTTAGGGTTTAGGGTTTAGGGTTTAGGGTTTAGGGTTTAGGGTTTAGGGTTTAGGGTTTAGGGTTTAGGGTGTGTGGCTTAGGGCTCAGGGTTTAGGGGAGACTTCCGTTTTTTGGTGTAGGGAGCTTCATTTGTAAAAGGTTCTTGTTTTGTAAAGGTTTTTGTCTGTTGCTGTTCAGGGTTCAGGGTTTAGGGTTTAGGGTTAAGGGTTTAGGGTTCAGGGTTAGGATTTGTTCAGGCGCTTGTTGTGTTTTGGGGGTTAGGCGCCCCCAAACCGAAACCCGAAACCCTCAACCCTGGTCAGCTGTTCTTAAGGGGGGGGGAAAGGGTATGTAGCCCAAGGTTCCCGAATACTCCACTACTCACTAAGGCTCAAGCTTCAGTATGGTTTTCTAGGTACCTACCCCCCATGAAACCTAAACCCTAAACTAAACCCTAACCCTAAACCCTCCCCTCCTTCAGGACGCCATAATAAACCCTAAATCCTGAACCGTGAACCCTAAACCCTAAACCCTAAGCCCTTCAGGACTCTATAGGTTCTGGATCCTGTGCAGAGGAACCGGCGCCCAGTTGCGGCTCTCTCGCTCCCACGACTTTGCTGCAGGCGTGGCCTCGGGCGTAACCCTGATTCTCTCAAGCCTAAGCCTAAAACCTAAACCCCAAACCCTAAACCCCAAACCCCAAACCCCAAACCCTAAATCCTAAACCTTAAACCCTAAACCCTAAACAGTAAACCCTAAACCCTAAACCCTAAACCCTGCCTAAACCTTAAACCCTCAACTGGCGGCATTGTCTTGGCTGCTTGTCGGCACAGGGACCCTGCAAGGTTGGGATTGTTCGAGGATGGGTTGCCAAAGACCCCAAACCCTAAACCCTAAACCCGAAACCCTAAACCCTAAACCCTAAACCCGAAACCCGAAACCCGAAACCCTAAACCCTTTGTCTTTTGTCCCCTTAGGACTCCAGTAGCCGCCTTAGGAATTTATTGTTTTGTTTTTTAATCTAAAACTATATTTTCGTGCAGGTGCTAAGGGGAGTATAGTAGTCCCACTAGGATTCTTTGTTTTGTTTACTTATCTCCCGCGGGAATGTCGAACATGTTATACTTGTGGCAAGACATACCACCAAGTCATAGAGAGGGAAAGAGAGAGAGAGAGAGAGAGAGAGACATAGAGAGAGATCTCCAAGCCTGTAATGCGGAGCCTGCGGAGCATGGGTCGTATTGGCTCTTTTTACCTTCAGCTCTGGTACCAAGTCCTCCTGCTGAAAATCGAGGAGGAGTGGTTAGGGTCTGTTTTTTTGTTTAAGACTAGGTGGGCCCCACATTTTTCCTTCATTGGGTTTAAGAGAATCAGATTCAAGAACATTTTTCAATGGGTTTAGCTACTACTTGCTTCAGAGCCACCCAAAAACTATTCTTCCTGGGCAATCTAGTCTAGGGATCATTGTCATCTTTCGGGGGTTCTTTGAGCAAGTAGTAGTTAAGGCCGTAAACCCTGAACCCTAAACCCTAAACTCTAACACCTAAACCCTAAACTCCCTAAACTCCCTAAACTCCCTAAACTCCCTAAACTCCCTAAACTCCCTAAACTCCCTAAACTCCCTAAACTCCCTAAACTCCCTAAACTCCCTAAACTCCCTAAACTCCCTAAACTCCCTAAACTCCCTAAACCTAAACCCTAAACCCACCCCTGCGTCGCCGCTTTTGCAGCTCCCCACCGCTTTGCAGCTAGCGTTCCCACAGCTTCCGATCTGGGGGTTCAACAGAAGCCACAAACAATGTCCCCTGACGGGTTCCTTTAGAGCTTACCCCAGGAGCCGTAGTGCTGGGAAACCCTAAACCCTAAACGGCCCTAAGCCCTAAACCCTAAGCTTTCTCAGCCCCCTCGAATTCCCTGTAGCCAGCTGAAGAGCAAGTTGCGTCAGAAAGCGCCAAAGAGGGCTCCTAGGGAGGGTCACAGACCGCAAAGCCACCTTGCAGCCGTTTAGGGTTTAGGGTTTAGGGTTTAGGGTTTAGGGTTTAGGGTTTAGGGTTTAGGGTCTAGCAGGTTTAGAGGATTTGGGGTTTAGGCCCCCACCCGACCCCCCACCGCGCCATGTTCACCTTCACCCGGAAGCTTACCATCAATGTGGAGAACCACACACTGGAGAAGCAGGCCTCAGTGGAGGGTTTAGTAGATACAGGCACCCCAAACCCTAAACCCGAAACCCTAAACCCTACACCCTAAGCCCTAAACCCTAAACCCTCAACCCTAAACCCGAAACCCTAAACCCTGGGCCATATACCCTAAACCCTTGGGGTTTCTAGGGCTCAGTCGGGTTGAGTCTCGGTGTCTGTTCGGGCTTCCGGAAGCTTTTTTCAGTCGGCCGCAACACAGCGCATTCCGGGGCTTCACCTTCATGTAACATCACTCCCGAAGACCTATATACCCTAAAACCTAAACCCTACACCCTTTGCCGGCTACAAAGACCCTGGACGCTTGAAGGTCTAGGGTAGGGTTTAGGGTTTAGGGTTAGGGTTTAGGGTTTAGGGTTTAGGGTTTAGGGTTTAGGGTTTAGGGTTTAGGGTTTAGGGTTTAGGGTTTAGGGTTTAGGGTTTAGGGTTTAGGGTTTCGGGTTTCGGGTCTAGAGTTCAGGGGCTGTGCTGACAGGCCTTCCTGTTCTCCGGCGAGCACTTCGAGTGCGGTAGCTGGAAGAGCAGGCATCGCCAGCCACGAAACCCTAAACCCCAAACCCTAAACCCTAAACCCTAAACCCCAAACCCCAAACCCCAAACCCCAAACCCTAAACCCTAAACCCGAAACCCTAAACCCTAAACCCCACGCCCTAAACCCCAAACCCTAAACCCTAAACCCTAAACCCTAAACCTTAAACTTAAGATCCTGCCAGCGCCGGGAGGCAGCCTGTTGCGAAGATCGGTGAGTTTGCCGAGTTGCTTGGCTTGCATTGGCAGGGGTTCGGGGCTCTTGCGCATGTCCCCGTGCACATGGCCGTAAACCCCTGAGATTTCCGAAACCTCAACCCTAAACCCTAAACCCTACACCCTACACCCGAAACCCTAAAGCTAAAGCCTAAACCCTAAAGCCTAAGCCCTTAACCCTTAACCCTAAACCCTAAACCCTAAACCCTAAGCCCTAAGCCCTAGACCCTAAACCCTAAACCCTGAACCCTAAACCCTAAACCCTAAACCCTAAACCCTAAACCCTAAACCCTAAACCCTAAACCCTAAACCCTAGACCAAGGCTGGAGTTCGAGAGCCAGGCCATGACGGCCGGACTTTCGGGCTATGTGGCCACTTTTTCCGTGCAGTTATGGGGAGGGAGTTTGGGTTAAGGGTTTAGGGTTTAGGGTTTAGGGTTTAGGGTTTAGGGTTAGGGTTTAGGGTTTAGGGTTTAGGATTTAGGGTTTAATTCGGGTTCAGGTTTGAGAGGGTGGAGAGGGGCTTAGGGTTCAGGTTGAAGCCTGGCATGCCTGGTTAAAGCCCTAGTAAAAATGTTACTGGGCAAGGTCATTCTTTTACTGGGCAAGGTAGTTTTTTAACTGGGTAAGGTCATTACTGGGCAAGGTCATTTTTTTACTGGGCAAGGTCGTTCCATAAGTGAAATATGTTCTTAATGTTGTGGGATTCTTTGGGCGGGTGGGTATCTTTCTGGAGTAATTTCTGGACTAGTGAATGCTTGGACTTGAGATGAACCCTATACTCTAAACCCTAAACCCTAAACCCTAAACCCTAAACCCTAAACCCTAAACCCTAAACCCTAAACCCTAAACCCTAAACCCCAAACCCCAAACCCTAAACCCTAAACCCTTAGCCAAGCCCAGGTCTTCGGCACAGCAGACCACGGGCAGCTGCTCATCACAGCCCCACAGCGGCGCAGTGGGGGAAGGGGGGGGGGGGGTTGGGGGGTTGGTCTTTAGAAGAGGGTTTAGGGTTTAGGGTTTAGGTTTAGGGTCTAGGGTTTACGGGTTTGGGCATGTGCTTGCTGGGTCCGAGCCCCTCAGCTCTGTCGGCTCCAAGAGAACCACAAAGGGCTGTCAAAAGGATGTTCAGCACACCCTAACCTCCAGGGATGAAGACTCGTACCCCTAAGGTTGTACCCCTAAAGGTTCCCCTTAATGTAGTCTCAATATGGCCCTTATATTCCCTTAGGGATCCTGAAAAAGGGTCCCCAAAACCCAAGGGGACAACCTTAAGGGACCAAGGTAAAACCCCCTAGATAACCAGAAATTGCATGTTTTGTTTCAGCAACTTTTTGAAACCGATTAATCGATTGGCTGCATCCCTGGCTTCACGCAGGCCCCTAAACCCTAAACCCGAAACCCTAAACCCTAAACCATAATCCCTAAACCCTAAACCCTAAACCCTAAACCCTAAACCCTAAACCCTAAACCCTAAACACGTAAAGGGTCTGCGCCATGCTGCGTGTCTGGAGCGTTTCCGGGCAAGAGCTGCTCGCGGCGCCCGGGAGCGAGGCGCTTGAGACGGTGAGCCACTTGAAGCGCCACTTGCGAAGCCAGCATGGCTTCCCAGTCTGCCTTCAGCAGCTTCTACATGCTGCTATATCCCCCTTGGGAATGATTTTTGTTATAAATTAAATAAATAAATAAAAAAAGAATATATATATATATATATATATATATATATAAACCCCAGAGGATATTAGACATATTTTTTTCATCAGGGTCCTGCCGGGAGTCGAGGCCGGCCGCTGCTTAGAGG